GAGTAAAGAATCAGAGGGGTAGTCGTATTAGTCTGTATCCACAAAAACAACGAGTCCGGTGGCACCTTAAAGACTAACACAGATTTATTTGGGCATAAGCTTTCGTGGGTAAAAAACATGGGCACGCATCTGAAGAAGTGGGGTTTTTACCCAAAACTTAACTCACCAATCAGCATTTTGTCTTGTTTTTCTGTAGCAACTTGCGCCTTTCTTCTCTTTGTTTTAGATACCACCTTCCAGGCACCAATGGGCTGTGAAAGAACTCTCTAGGACATAGTAATAACGTATCTGGTCTCTGATAGGTTTTGTATTTGCCTATGCCTATGCTGGTGGGAGCCGTGATCGGCCGAACCTGCGGATGCGGCAGGTAAACAAACCGGCCCGGCGCGCCAGGGCTTTCCCTGAACAAGTGGTGGACCAGAGTTGAGAACCACTGTCCTATGCTAAGAGCTGAATTCAGCTCTGCAAAGTGTTTTGGGATACGTACACCTCACTGTGAACAGAACAGGAGTAATCCGCATTTGAGGGGAAAGCATCACACAAGTCAATTAGCAAACCTACCCAACATTCAGATGCCATATGAAGTACACAGTATGAATCCCATACATGTGTAATACATGTTAATGTGGTGTGTACTACACTAGTTAAGCCTGAGCTGCACTGAGTCCTCCTCACCCAGAGCCTAAGCACAGTCTTTACATTACATTATACATTCTGCCATATTGATTAACCTTTAGCAGAGAATATGACATGGGTCCGCACAGGTAGGTCTGTATGCAACCATGGATTATTGTTTTCACCACTTCTGCCAAATGTTGTCCATTATTAAATATCATCCTGATATGTGCACAACTGTTTGCACTCTCAGTAGGATACTCATAGGAGTGGCGTCACTCATGTAAGTGTTTGCCGGTTCAAGCCCTGAATTTGTTGTAAGTGGTTTTAAACTCAGACAGCAGTTGTGGATTTGAAAATAGATTTATTGCACCTTCTTGTATTTCATTGCTGACCCCTTCAAGTGAGGGCTGTGCTGTGGCTCTTTAAGGAACTGCAAGGGAAAAGAGATGAAACGACTGCAGGGTATTACAGTGATGTTTCACCTGTAGTCACCTCTTTTTTAAAAAATACATAGATTGTTCACGTGGGCTTGGATCACAGATTTCAGCACTCAGCTTTGCCAAAATTCGGGGATGATCAGTTATGGGAATAATCCAATCTCTAAATTATTTAGCTTTGGTATCTATTGACAGACAGGATCCTAGGGAAGAGTACAAGATGAATAGTAAACATGAGGGATCATACATCTGGAAAAGACACCTTCAGCTGTGTGGAAAAATTCTCATCACTGCTTCACATATTTCATGAATTAAGGGAAAACAAACTGTTTCTGACTCCAGTTATTTGGAAGACAAAAATACACATTTTGAAAATGACCGATAGTGAAGAATCAGCTGACATTTTACATAATTCCATAGGCAACATAGAAATACCACATGGCACTGAGTTTTACATTTATGGTTAAGTGTATTACTGAGGTACCTCCCAGCTACAGCTGAGATCAAAGCCCTAGTTTGCTAGGCATTGTACGAAAACATAGTCAAAGGGCAGGTTTACACTGTGGGGCCAAATTGACCTACGTTACACAACTTCAGCTACATGAGTAACGTAGCTGGAGACGACGTACCTTAGGTACACTTATTGCGGTGTTTACACCACAGCGGGTTGACAGGAGAAACTCTCCTGTTGCCTTACCTTATGCTTCTCATTCCGGTGCAGTACCGGAGTGTGATCGGCAGTTGATTTAGAGGGTCTTCACTAGACCCGCTAAATTGACCCCTGGTGGATCGATCACTGTAGTGTCAATCCATGGTAAGTAGAGACAAGCCCAAAGACAGCCCCTGCCTTAAAGAGCTTAGTAACTTGCCTAAAGTCACACAGCATAGTAGTGATAGAGCAGATTAGAACACAGGTCTCCTAACTGTGCCCTATCCCCTCTTCTCTAGGGCAGAGATTACAACACAGTTCATAAGCCTACAGGATAATGCTTTATTTTTAAAAAGAAAAATACACCTACCCATCTCAGCACATCTCCCTGTCATGGAGCCATTGTGCCCAGATTTTCTCATCTGCCACAGTCAAGATGGTGGCAGATAGGGTTTTAAAGAACAAATATGCTTATTCTTCACATACTGTTATAGTCTATCATATTAAAAGCGGCTAAGGACATTTTAACTTGTGATTATTTGACATGATGAACAATTTATGACCTACTGTGTCAATGCAGCTGCTGTGCATTAGTATCCTGTCAGCATCTTAACATTCCTGATTCTATTTTTGATAAAGGAAGTTTCACACGAGTAGCTACTTTTCCAAAATTAATATGGTTATTTGCGCTCTTTCCCTCTCCTAACTCTCCCCCTCCCTCGAAGACCACAAAAACGCAACTTCAAGCACCATAAAAACAGTACAGTACAGTACTAAAGAGCTCCCTTTGGTTGGAAAAAGTTTACTACAAGAGTACTAAAAACTTAATACTACATATATTTATCACTTCAGATTAAAATCTTTGACTAAGGTAAATCCTCATCATCATTTTATTTTTTTTGAAGTTCCATCCGCGTATACTGGTTTTTATGTTTCCCTTAGGCAGACTAACACAAATGATTCTCTTGCTGTCCTGTCTGAGGCCTTGAGCATTCCTGATTAGGTCTCAGTGAATTCAGAGAGCCCCTAGAGAAAATGTTTTTGGAATTGTTACATATTGCGGGAATATGGGGTGGGGAGAATGGGAAATTATCCCATTACCAATGGACCAGGGTCCCCATCCCATGACCCAGTTATGCTACAACTTGTACTGACGCTCTTCAGTTGACAGTTTCAGTAAATAGGTGGTCTTGAAAGGATTAGATTTTTTTTTTAATCGATAAATGTCAATTTTACTATACTCACACAAACCAATGAAAAATATTTCCATAGCTAATAACTGATGAGGCAAAGTAAGAAAATGCTGCTTGAGAACTTTAGAGTCTGGTTTAAGGAAATTTACTTTGTATATTTTGACGAGTTGACAATTTATGTTTTTAATGGTTATAAAGCTTTAACTTGTTGAATCTCCGTGTCTACTGTTACTAAATAATTGTCTGATCTCCCACAGTGTCTGAGCCCCCCCATAATAATCCCACACCTGTGACATTTTAAATTTATAAAAATCAAGTGTTAGATTAAAAGTAATCGTCAAAGTTATATTAAAAAAATCTAATTCCACCAAACCTACAAATAGTTCAGTCCCGATGTCCAGGCAAACCTTGGCCTATTCCACTCCCTCAGCAGAGAGTGTCTCCACGTAGAAATACATTTGCAGGGTTGCACTGACATGCTCACACTTTTGCCTGTTCTATGGCTCAATAGAGGCTTTCAGGCCTGTCAAACCACCACTTTTCTCCAGCACTAAATAGATTCATACACACGCTACTTTAATCTCCCTCCCCCTCCCCGCCCCCCAGTAATTTAAGGCCCAGATGTGAATTATCCTTGCAACCACAGCACACATTGTGGGTTACAGATGGGATGGAGGGGAAGGGAAAAGCAGATTCTGGGGTGAGGGTGGAAGAAGGGTGAGGAGTGGAAGAAGCCTTGGCTCTGTAACAGTCGTAGATTATTTTCTCTCTGGAGCTAGGGGTGACTCAGGCTACGTCTACACTTCTGACAGTGTCTAGTACATATGCTTCATATACATCTAGCATAGGTATAAAGAACAGTGTAGATGGTAAGGCACTGCTCCAGATGCAGAAACTCCAGAACCTTTGAGTATATACCTGACAGGGCTCTCTGTCTACCCCAACAGGGCCTCCCATGTCTACACTGCTGTTTTTTGAAGTGTAGTATCTCACTGCCTCCCGACTGTTGGAGCCTTTCTTGGCTGCCCCTCTGCTCCTGGATCCTTTCATTGCTGGGTGTAGCTACACACCACAATGTGGAAAAACCTGCTTTTCACTGCAGTGTGTAGCTCCATGTAGTCTACATGCCATGGCAAGGCCTTAGAGTCATCATTTCCTCCTGGTTTGCTATGCCCATCACTCAGAACAGATTGTGTAAGTAGAGTTTAGCCTTAACACGCTACATGCTATGGCTTACTTCTTAAATAGTAAATGTCACAAATATCTGCTTAGATTATCAATTCAGGCAATTTCTACTAGGCTCTTCCCAGTGATGACTACAATGCAAAACAGTTCAGACAGGAAGAACTCATCCAAATGAAAATGACTTTAAAAAGAAGATTTTTATTTTCCAAGATGCTATTAAAGATTTCATCATTTTCATCCTCCATATCCCTGCAGGGTAGAGATTGCTCTCCTCTCAGGCTGAAGGCAAGTTATGGAATTTTTGGTGCAACTGTGATTGACAAGACCATGATGTCCTCTCAGAGGAGGTGTGTTTTATTAATAAAATTACTTTGGGGAAATTGCAATGGGATAGCTTCCTAGTAAAGAGTTGCTAAACTGAAAATGCCTTCCGAAGACAGGGATGTTGGTCCCTTCGTATCCCCTTTCCTTGTATTTTTCATCTGTATTCCCCTTGGGGAAACAGAGAGGCTTCTATTATTTCCTGTACTGGTGTCTGATTTTTGCCACTGAAATATCCCAGCAATGCCAGGAGGCTGGAATGCCCTGGGAGGGTAAGAATAGCCCACAATGGTTGAGATTACTCCTGTTGCCTTTTGTCTACTTGCAGTTGTCAGGACAGGGGGACCACAGAGGTAAGTGCAGCAAATAGATCTGTGAAGCTAGAACTTTTGTGAAAATCAACTGTATTTCCTAGGGAGGGTTTGTTCCCAATTTGCAAAAGTCAGCAGGCCTATTTAGCTCTTTCATAAAAATAATTCTTCATCAATAATGTTGTTCATGATTGAGTGTTTTCCCCGCATATATTTATTTTCTTCCTTCTCTGTCTAGGTCTAATTTGCTTTGAAAATGCCAGAATCCTCCTTAAGCTTTCAGAAGCTGAAAGTGTAGTGAACTAGTTCAAAAAGATGGAGCGCTGGGACTCACTGGGGTTTTTGATTATCACTCTCAACTACAATGTTACGATTGTAGGTAAGTATCTGTAAAAGGTGTGCTCTTTCTTTGAGAGTTTCATCCCCCCCAAATCATCCAGGTTTCTTCCCTGTACATCAGCTTTCATTTCCAGCTATCAGTCTGACCATTCCACGACCCCCTTCCAAAAGAGAGTTAATTGTTTTGCTATGGGATATAAGAGCTGTTGATGATTGATTTTTTTTTTAAATAGAAAATATTCATAGCAGATGAAGTAGGAATCTAAATGTTAGAAATGAATGAGGGGGGTGGAGGGGAGCTTTCAAATCTGGCTATTCTTACCCACCAAGTTTCCTCCCAGCTCTATTGAGAGCTGTAATGAAACACTCAAAGCTCAAGGCAGATGTAAAAAGTACATTTTTCCATTATATGACATAGCCCGCTTTAACAGTGAAGTAAATAACATAGGGAGAAGAAAAGAAAACATTTTTCAATAAACTATTTGGTGATTAAGCAATCTTGTTTTTCATAGTTGGGTTTTAAGTTTACAGCATTCAAGTGCATATTAAAAATGCCCTTTAATTTTCTCAGACAATGACCTCAGTCTTGTCTTTTTTTTTTCTTTTTTTTTTTTAAATAAGATTCCATCACTGATTCACTTTGTAATTTTGAGCAAATGACTTAGGGCCAGATCCAAAGACTACTGAAGACAACTGACTTTAGCCTTTACAGCTCAGTCCTGTAAATATTTATTACAGGACATTGCTCACTGCAGCAAGTAATCCCAGTAACTGTCAATGAAATGGCTTGCTGAGTAACTGTCTGCAGAACTGAGCCCTTAGGGAAAATGATGCACAGAGTTATCTGTAAAAAGCTTGTCCCTCTCACCAAGAAGATGGTCCAATAAGAATTATTACCTCACCCACCTTGTCTCTATAGTACTAACCTAACAGGGATCAAGTGATTTTTAAGCGGAACTCTCTCATGTGTACATTCTAATTAAAAACTGATGCCCTAACACATCCCAGTGTGTTGAGAGGCTTAATTCATAAATGGTTTTGAAACATTGAGATCCTTGCATAAAAAGCATAATAAAAGTACAGAGTATTATTTGTTATGGGCTACTTTTGATTTCATATAGTAGCCATTTTTCTCCACCAGAATAGCCAACTGAAAACACCAAGAATGCCATCAGAAACAGTTTGTGGTTAGGAAATATATTGTTTAGTTGGTTGTGGGAGGGTTTCAATATGATCACCTATTCTGCGGTCTCATGGAGTTATCAAGTTGTTTATATATTCTTGCCCAGTTTCACCATTTCTGAGAGCTGTGTTATTGTTATTGTCTCTCTTGCTGGCCATAAGAGAGGTATGTAGCTCATCTCAAATGCATGCCAATAAATATTAACACCCCAATGTTTTACAAACATTTAAATGTTTAAGATTCACACAAATGTTATAAAAAAGTGCTTAGTGTTTTGGCAAGTAGGAGAGGCGATTGTCTAAGACTGTAAGTATGCATACACTAAAAGCAAAATCCTAATAATTTTTCTGTAAAAAGTGTTATTTTTAACAATACCTACAGGGGCTATTTTACCAACTCTCTGCCTGTAAAACCACGTGTGTTTATACCAGAGAGAACCACTCAGTACTTTAGATTTCTAGGGCTCTGCACAACCATTAATTCGGTCCCACTCCTGCTTGTACTCTTGTCAAAGATTTTTACTATTGCATTTATCTGGAAGCAGAATTGAATCCTTAACCTTTATCCTGTGTTAATGTAGATAAGTATATATTAATCACTCAACCCCCCTTATTGTTTTGCTTTAAGTAGTGAAACCGAGGCAGAGAGATTATTAAATGACATTCCAAAGACCATAGGTAGTCAGTGGCAGAGCCAGGACTGAAACTCAGGATGTCCTGGCTTCAAACTCTATCTGCATATATTGATCAGTATAGTGGTAGTACTGAGTTTCAGTAACCACTCCAGTAAATGTTTCGAGTCCTAATTTTTTGGTTTTCTTTTTTTCCCCTTTGCAAAATATCCAGTCTGGTGGTTGAATTTTTCTGTTGTTAGTGTTTGTCCAAAGATTTTATATATCAGTAAAAACTCCTAAGATATAACATGCAAGCTTTTTTCAGTCTAACTGCCCTTTTTTCAAACCAACCGAACTCCACAGCCCTGGAGAAGGTTTTTTTAAAATTATTATTTAATTCTTTATAGACCAATGTCTGTGTACACATTACTTTGCAAAGATCTAACAAAACAAGATCTGGTCCTGAGAAGCATAGAGTCTGATGGAAAAATTAAATAAATGAGAGGTACTCAGAACAATTAATGCTTGATCGTGCCCCAATATTACTAAGGGTTTTAATGGAGTAAGGACTGTAGAATTAAGGACCTGATCCAAAGCCCACTGAAGTAAATGGAAAGATTCCAATTGATTTTTGTTCATAAATAATGTAATCCAGCGTGAACAATATGAGCCTCTTGTTAGATTTCATTTTCTGTGCTGTGAGTCTATCACCATTTCTTCTTCCTCTCTAGGAAAGATCTGGCTAACATTAGTAATCTTGCTGAGAATGGTGGTGATAGTATTAGCGGGATACCCCCTCTACCAAGATGAACAAGAACGGTTTATCTGCAATACCTTACAACCAGGATGCTCTAACGTGTGCTATGACATTTTCTCTCCTGTCTCTCACTTTCGATTCTGGCTCATTCAAACAGTGTCTGTTCTGCTACCTTATGCTGTATTCAGCATCTATGTTCTGCACAAAGTAGCCATCCATGTTGTGACAGCACATTGTTTGCCATATAGATATGAAGGAATGAAGGCTTTAGCTGGCCATTCAGCCTTGAAGGAACGCTGCAAAAACATTGCAGTCACTAGACCATCCTGCAAGGCAGATCTTCTGAATATCCCTGATTTTTCTTGGGAATACACTGTTCACCTTTTTCTAAGAACACTGGCAGAGGCTAGCTTTGGAGCTGGACAGTATTATCTCTTCGGATTTTTTGTTCCTAAACGCTTTTCCTGTTACCAGTCTCCTTGTACCAGCATGGTCGATTGCTACATCTCCAGGCCTACTGAAAAATCGATCATGATGATTTTCATTTGGGGGGTGAGTGGCCTCTCTTTTCTGCTTAGCCTTGTTGATCTAGCCTTTGCCATCCAAAGAATGGCAGTAAGAAATGGACAAAATAAACCGATGGAAGGTCTCCATGCAGAGGATGAGCACAGTTCAGTTCAGCCTGCAGCTGACAAGCAGGAGGATTCTCTACCACTTCCAGAGGACAGAGGCCATCAACATCTAGTGACACACAACAGTCATACTAGTGAAGTGTCTTGCTCACTTCATTCTGAAGATGAAGAAGAACTTCAGGAGGAAGAGAAGATCGTCTCCCAGCAAACTGCCATCTCTAACCTCAACAGTAACAGCAATAAGCCCTGTCTAGCAGACAGCCTTGCTGCTAATCAAGGCAGTAATGAAGTGCCCCTGTGTATAAGTGACCAGCACCATATTCCATACAAGCAGCTGAGACATGGGCAACAGCAAACCTTCACCAAAGAGGCTTCCCTAACTTTGAGACCCCAAGTCAAGTCCCATCTTGGGGTTTACTCTTCTGGAAGTCAGAGCAAGCTTTTAGGGTGTTACTCTTCAGCTGAGCTAAAAGCTTCTATTGGGCAATCAAGTTGTAGCAGTGCTGGCTACTTGGGATCAAAAAAATCAGAATGGGTGTAAAGAGCCGTGATATTGCATTTACTTCTCCTGGAATGACACACATTTCACACCATCTAGTCTGACATCAAAACCTCAGTGTTGGTTAAATTCCGTTTTTGTGCCTGTAAAAATATAATTTTATAAAACATCCCTCTGGCGGAATGAAGAACAGGAAGCAGAACTTGCTGTGACTTTGACAGGATTGTATGGAAATCCTTGATAATACCGTGTGGCAGATTTCATTAAGATGGTAACTTTTGCTGTTTGGAATGTTTGATATTGAATATTAGGGATCTTTCTAACCACTACCACAGATTTATGCTGATGTGGCTTCTAACAGTCTTTTCAGATATATATTCATTTCATTATTGTTGTAGTCAAGCATAATATTTTTCTTTATATTAGTTGAGCTTGTTTAGCTTTTCATGTGTGACAGTGATGTGTTTTATCATTTCCTGGAGAGGAACCACATTAATTATTAAACTGATCATAGATAGAAAAGCATTAAATATTTAGTTCTCTAGTCCGTGAAGTCTTTTTAATGGGATCTGTGTTGATTATGCTGTAATATCACAAATATTAGGACAAAGAAACCTTTTGTAAGTCATTGTATTTTATCAGCTGTGAGAAGGAATGCAGGGAACAAACATGGATTGAATGTATCTTGTATGTCTCTCAAACTGATACATGGACAGACAGGTGGATAAATAATGCAGACGCTGTGGCAGAACTCTGGAGCTTGTTTATTTGTCTTTATACCTATCTATTTTTAAATGACTAGAGTCTCCAATATAAATCAGAAAGGGCCTGATTGTGTCTGAAAGGGATAATAAAGTTAATAGTCCTTTTCCTCCTCCTGCTCAGTGGTTTGTACTTACTAAACTTTGACCTATACTAATAATGCTATCCCTTAATTGCAGGTCAGGCTGCTGCCTGGTTTTACCTCCTGCAAATCCCCATAGTGTGAGGCCAATTCTATAAACATACAGCTGATGTGGAGAGTGCTGGAACTTTCAGAGTGTGTGCGTAACGTGAATATAAATTTCTGAAAACCGCCAATACCCTCTTAGGAAGATCTGCCTGACTCAAGCTTACTTCTGATGCAGTTGTGTTAAAACACGGCAATGGTTATAGCTGCTCAGTGCTGGAGTACACCAAACCTCTAAGGTACCTGTAGTGTGCCAGGTGTACTGCAGCTGAGAGGCAAGCAGTGAAGGTGCTTCAGCAGCTACGCCTTGTAGGCGCTAGTCCTAGCTCCTCTGCACTGGCTCCCTGTCCAGTTGCTGCTGCTCCCCCATTAGTCCCAATCCTACGGTCATGTCTGGCTGTAACGTTCCATGTGCAGCTCTGTATACGGTTTCTGGGGGTTTCTTTCTGCATTCAGCTTCTCTGAAGCTCCTGGCTCATCATGCCATTGATGCTTCCCAGCAGTGCCCACTCACTTCCTGGTTAGAATTCTTCCTCCTACCTGGCCAGGGATGTGCAGTTGCAAGGGGGTGATTGGATTGTAGTCCCCTGCTTAGCAGTGTAAATGGGGTCTGAATGAACTCTCTTCTGACACCTAGTTTGGGAGGGAGAGAGACTTCAGGAACAAACTGTATTTACCTGAACACACCTACTCTGCATAGGTATCTAGCCCAAGGTGAAAGTAAGCCGGTATGCCCCAGTACGGCATACCGGCAAGAGCAGGTGCACCGTACTGGGGCAGCCCGGCTTCCCCAGGGAGCAATTTAAAGGGCCTGGGGTTCCCAGCAGTGGCTGGAGCCCCAGGCCCTTTAAATTGCCTCCAGAGAGTCCCGCTGCTGGAGCCCTGGGATAGCGGCTGTGAGGCTCCGGCGGCTATTTAAATGGCCTGGGGCTCCCCTGCTTCTACCGCCCGGGCCCTTTAAATAGCTGCTGGAGCCCTGCTGCTGCTACCCCAGGGCTCTGGAGGCTATTTAAAGGACCGGGGCGGTAGAAGCAGGGGAGCCGAAGGCCCTTTAAATAGCCCCCAGAGCCCTGGGGTAGCGGGGGCTCAAGGGGCTATTTAAAGGGCTGGGGCTCCAGCTGCCTCTGCCACCCCAGTCCTTTAAATAGCCGCTGGAGCCCCGCCACTTCCCCAGGGCTCTGGCAGCTAATTAAAGGACCAGGGTAGAACAAGCAGGGGAGCCTCGGGCTGCTGATGCTACCCCGGTGGGGGAGTGTGGGAGGTGGAGGTGAAGGGGGGTCACTTACCTTATAGGCTGGGGTGGGGCTGGCTCTGGCCCCCTCAGCCCTGCTGCTTCTGGGGGCCAGAGCTGACCCCAGCGTACCGGTCAATCACTCGACTTACTTTCATCCCCATATCTAGCAGACAGGAGCTGTGTAGCTCCAAGTGATCAGCTTTGACTGGTGTTAGGTTAGAAATCACATTAGTACTGAATGTAGAGGTAGTGAAAGGTTATCAGTGTTGTTACCTTCATTGTATGACTAAAGGGGAGCAGAACCATGCTGAGCTTGTCCTGATTGAGGGGTCTCCCTCAGCTGAAAGGAACTCACTAAGCCAGGGGCTTGAATGTCATCCCCCCCCCCCCCCCGTGAAAGTAAGAGGGGTGTGGACTCTTCCTAAGGGTCCCCAGGTTGGTTTACCGTGTTCAAAAATAGAGCTAAATAGGTTTCATTAGGAGCCTTTTTTTATTTCAAGTACTTAATGAGAGCTGAAATCACTTGTGGTGGGGCAGTGTTTCTGCTCAGCCTGCTGAGAGCTAAAAATCACTAAGAGACTGATCTACAGAAGTCACAGCAGAGAGGCAGGTGGCAGCAGAAGGTAAGTGATGGGCCACTGGCGAAAGTGGTAAGCGGACGGCTGGCTGGTCGGGCAGCCAGGAACCATGGTGGCCAGCTAAAGCAAGTGCTCAGATGGTGAAGCAAGCAAGGTGCCTTCTTCCCCAGGTGGGAGATGAACTCACACAGATGCACCTCTGAACCCTGGGTCCTCACTGACTAAGGACAACCACTGCGAGTGGTGTCCTGTGAGGGAGTGGGGAGGAGGGGGTGCAGTAAAGGAACTTTTGGTTGTAGAACTCAAGAACATGAGGCAGAAGGCTCTGACCCACCCACTCTGGGGTGGGCGTCGTCCTCACAGTTTTATGTTTATGAATCCTGCTTGAGGCATTTTCCCTTACTAATGTCAGGTGACTTCCCTCCTTTCATTAAAAGTTTCTTTGCTACACTCAGACTCTGTGCTTGAGAGTGGGGAAATACAGGGGTAGCAGGTTTGTGTAATTTGTGGTGGTGCCCAGAAGGGATCCAAGTCCCACACCCCCCACCGACCTGCCGAAGGCTCTGGGAGGGAGTTTGGGTGTGGGGTCCAGGGTCGGGCTCTGGGAGGAAGCTGGGGTGCAGGAACTGGGCTGGGGAAGGCAGTTGGGGTGTGGGAGAGGGTGTGGGGGACGGGCTCTGGGAGGGAGTTTGGGTGCGGGGTCTGGGCTGGGGCAGGGGTGCAGGAGAGGACAATGGGTGCCGTGCTTACCTTGGGTGGCTCCCGGAAGCGACCCACACCTCCCTCTGGCAGCAGCTCCTAGGTGAGGGCCCGGAGGGGTCTCCACGCAGCACTGCTCACAGGCACTGCTCCCACAGCTCCCATTGGCCATAGCTCGGGGTGAGGGCAGTGCACTGAGACACGGCCCCTCCAGGGGCCACAGGGATATGCCGGCTGCTTCTGGAAGCGGAGCAGGCGGGCAGGAAGCCACCTTAGCCCCATTGCACTGCCAGTGGCGGGGGCCCTGGGCCCTTTTAAATTGCCTGGGTGTGGCAGGTGGGAGCTCTAGGGGAGGCGCACAGGGGCGGCAGATGGGGCTGGGGATGAGACCTGGATCCAAACTTTGTGGAATTGGGCCCCTGTGCTTTCATATTGGTGGAGCACGGGCACCATGGGCCCATACATCTTGCTGTCCCTGGGGAAGTTACTGCTTCTCAGAGGCACCTGGGATGGTGTGTAATTTTCCCAGATTGCTGGGTGGAGGTTCAAGCTGATTTTGTGCCGTATGGTTGAAAAGGAACCCCTAGATATTGAACCTGGCCCTGGTGGCTGCTGGCTTCCCCCGCCAGAATGATGAACCTGCTGTAACCTAAATAATTTTTAAAACAGTTTCAGTGAACAGGGTGGAAATGTGGAAAGGTCATAAATTGTTCATTAAAAACTCCAAGCCCATCGATGATTTTAGGTGTTTATACTACTCACAGCTGCAGTCATGTAAATGGCTGGCTGGAAGCTGATTAGATGTGGTGATTGAGGGGGTACAAGTTATGACAGAAGCAAGAGACAGCAAAGTAAAGCAATTTGAAAGGAGAAACAAAAGTATTCAACTATATTAGGGAGAGGAAGGAAACAGAATATCTTCTACTGAGTTTTAGGATCCCTGACTATTACGGTCAGGTACTGAAAGAGTACAAGTCCACTGAGTCTAGAGAGGGTAGAAATGTTGCTATCTGGAGGTCAGATATTACCTTCTGACAGAAAATTAAAACTAGACCCTGCTGTGACAAATATTGTAGGAACTTGGTTTAGAACTAGAACAGTGAAATAGCTAGATCTACTGCTACTCTTGCCTTTGTGACTTATTTCAGTGTCCCCCTTTATGTTGGAAAGAACCTACCACTGACCAAACGCTAAGCTTTCTGACTCTTCTTCAAATCCCTTCTTAACCATGCTCCTTTAGTAAAGAAGGGATTTGAAGGAGAGTCAGAAAAAGATGGCTCCAAAACTTTCTAAAGATAGCGCCAAAACTAGAATACAAGATATGGTCCTCCTCAAGCTTTGGGGAAGTTTGGATTTTGCACTCAACCAATGCAAGAGATCCAGATCACAAAGGAATTACCTCACCATCAACAAGTTGATATTGTAGTATTACTTCATGGTGTAGAATAGTAGCTGCGTTTGTTGCTCATCGGTCGGTCCCAGATGTTATAGAATATGGGAAGCTTAGTGCTGACTGAAGATTGTATGGTGACAAATGGATTTATTTTTTCCTCAGGAAGCTCGATATCTCCCCTTTTATCCTAACGTTGGCTGAATCATGTCTGGTTACCTTCCCACCCCAGTCTAATAGAAAATTGCTACCCTCTATTCTTTTATGATTGATCATAGGCTGGTGAATGTGTAATCACCCATAGTAGCAGTTGTCCTCTATGTCTCTCCAGCTTCAGAGCAGAAAGTTATTAAAATTTGAGTTAACAGATGTGTAGAGTTCCTTAATGTTATATAGCAAACTATTAAAATTGTCTCCCTGTGTGTGATTATTGCAATGATTATCTGATCAGAGAAAGGGGATACTAAAATTATACATTTATAGGTGAGAGGTTTTTCGCAGGAGTGGTGGGTGAAATTCTGTGGCCTGCGTTGTGCAGGAGGTCAGACTAGATGATCATAATGGTCCCTTCTCACCTAAATATCTATGAATCTATTAAAATGATTTTTATCAATAGATTAGTTATTTGGTCCATATATTGTTTTAGGATAATTTAACCATCAAAGAAAATTTAACTATAAATTATATAGTGTATAATTTAACCATCAAAATATAGTGTATAAAATAAAAATAAAAATGGAGGGGAATTATGGGAGGCTATCTCCTGCTAAGCAATAAAGAAGTCGTTTTACAATGTAATCTCATGTTTAATTGAATTGCAACAATGTTCTGAAGCAACTGTTCCAAATCATAACAAACTCTTCTTGACCTACAGATAGTGAATTTTTTTAAAGTACAGATACTAATTTCATTGAATCACCCACATTGCCCTACTGTATAGTCTTGTCATTGTAATATTGTCCTTCCTCCTCACTT